CTTCCTGTTTCACGTTTCTCGCCATAATTTCGTTTCCTCGCCATGGCCAAACCGTTCGAGATATCAAAAATCCCCTCGCAAACTTTCATCGTCAATGCCTTGACTTCATGCTGACCGAGTTTCGTGCCGTGTGTTTGAATTCTCTAGGAGTAGTACTTCAAATTCCATTGCGAGTGTTTTATGAACAACCCTAAATAACCGACTTCCTGTTGGGCTGGGGTAAAAAGTAATAGTATGAGGTATATATGAACGATGAGATCTATATGTGCACCGAGTTTCATATTATTACATGCAAGCGTGTTTGATTTATGGACCAAGTTTTCGGACCCCGTTCCAGGGGGCGCTGTCTAGCCCCCCTGCCACGCCCGGGTACCATCTTCAGCCCGGCTCTGATGGCCGCGGGTTCTGACCCGTGTGCTAAGTTTCAAGAGTTTTTGAGCATGTTAAGGGCCCCAAAAGTGCCCGAATAGTCGTATAAATAATAATAATAATAATAAATATAGCTGCGAGCAGCGATGGCGGGCCCAAGCCGGTGGCACCGCAACCCCGGTTCCTTTAGTTACCTAAAGGCACCGGGGTGGTGATGCCAAAGGCTCTGGCCCTTTCATGATTAAATGTTAAAACGGCTTGCCATACTCTATCTGTCATTTCGACTAGTCACAATTATGTTACAGATATCTTAAATGATAATACAAACTATCCAAAATGTAATTACGACTAGACAGAAAAGACATGTTGATATCTACAATGTTAATTCCGGATAGGCAAACTTAGCTTTTAAATGTTAAAAGGGCTTGCCATACACGTACGTAGGCTCAGAGAGAGTCTCACCATATTCAAACCAAAATATCTGACTTCCTCTTGGTCTGAGCTAATGACTATGAATTAGAAAGTTGTCTGGCTTGAGGAGTACAATGTATATAACGATTTTTGTAACTGTAGATAAAAATAACAACCCCACTTTTGTCAAAAGGTGGCGCTATTTAGTCCCTGCACCATGCCCGTTTCTGAAACTTTGCACATGTCTACTGGCTAATAAATGTGATGTGTCTGTTGAGTTTCATGCAATTTCAAGCATGCTAAGAGTCTCAAAAGCATCCTAAAATAATTTCAAAGTTTGATGCGTTGCCACGGCAACAGTATCAAAGATATCAAGAATCCATTCCAGGTCTTCATCTGCCATGTATTTACATTATACAGATGAAGTTTGAAGCAAATCGGGTCAAAAAAATAAAAGGATGATTTAAAGCATTTTGGAAGTGACACACTTCCTGCTGCCAGTTGGTGGCGCTATAACTTTGACTCACAATAGTCACATCCATGTGATCGGCCTCTTACAGCGAACACACTGCTGAAGTTTCATCAAGATCAGTTAATGTATGCTGAAGTTATAACTGTTTCACGTTTCTCGCCATAATTTAATTTCCTCGCCACAGCCAAACTGTTTGAGATATCAAAAATCCTCGCAAAATTTCATCCTCAGTTTCTTGACTTCATGCTGACCGAGTTTCGTGCCGTGTGTTTTGAATTCTCTAGGAGGAGTATTGCAAATTCCATTGTGTGTGTTTTTATGAACAAACCCTAATAACCGACTTCATGTCTAGCTGGGGTAAAAAGTAAAGAGTGTGAGGTATATATGAAACATTTTGAACATCAACATGTGTACCGAGTTTCATATTATTACATGCAAGCGTGTTTGATTTATGGACCAAGTTTTTGGACCCCTTCCAGGGGCGCTGTCTAGCCCCCCTGCCACGCCCAGGTACCATCTTCAGCCCGGGCCTGATGGCTGTGGGATCTGACCTGTATGCAAAGTTTCAAGAGTTTTCAAAACCCGTTAAGGGCCCCAAAAGCCGCTAAGAGTCTCAAAATCATCAAAAAAAAAGAATTTTAAAGTTTGATGCGTTGCCACGGCAACAGTATCAAAGATATCAAGAATCCATTCACAGGTCTTCTTCATGCTGCTGTTATTTACATTATACAGATGAAGTTTGAAGCAAATCGGGTCAAAATAAAAGGGTGAGTTCAAAGCATTTTGAAAGTGACACACTTCCTGCTGCCAGTTGGTGGCGCTATAACTTTGACTCACAATAGTCACATCCATGTGATCGTCCTCTTACAGCGATTAAACTGCTGAAGTTTCATCAAGATCAGTTAATGTATGCTGAAGTTATAACACACTTCCTGTTTCACGTTTCTCGCCATAATTTCGTTTCCTCGCCACAGCCAAACCGTTCGAGATATCAAAAATCCCCTCGCAAACTTTCATCCTCAATGCCTTGACTTCATGCTGACCGAGTTTCGTGCCGTGTGTTTGAATTCTCTAGGAGGAGTATTGCAAATTCCATTGCGAGTGTTTTATGAACAACCCTAAATAGCCGACTTCCTGTTGGGCTGGGGTAAAAAGTAATAGTATGAGGTATATATGAACGATGAGATCAACATGTGTACCGAGTTTCATATTATTACATGCAAGCGTGTTTGATTTATGGACCAAGTTTTCGGACCCCGTTCCAGGGGCGCTGTCTAGCCCCCCTGCCACGCCCGGTACCATCTTCAGCCCGGCCCTGATGGCCGCGGGTTCTGACCCGTGTGCAAAGTTTCAAGAGTTTTTGAGCATGTTAAGGGCCCCAAAAGTGCCCGAATAGTCGTATAAATAATATAATAATAATAATATAATAAATAATAATAATCCTAAGGAACAATAGGGCCTTCGCCCTTTCAGGGCTTTGGCC